TCATTAACAGGTTTACTATTAATTTTTTAGGACACCCTGTATATATGAATATACCTACAGAATTTTGCTTAATTCTCAATTTTTTCTAGGCTCTATCATTCGTGTGTCTTGTATTTTAATGTTAGAATTTCTGTTTACCGACGTATCTGTCAAATTTTTTGCTCTTGTTTTTCCTCGCGATGAGTTTCTGCAATGTTTGCGGATTGCGTGCGAGAAACGCGAATAAAACTCGTCTACATTGCGTAAACACGTCACCGCACCGGTGCGTCATGGCATTTTAGCACACGAAAGCGTTGACGAATGTCGCGACGAGAAGACGTCGGATTATATTTCGTACAAACTTCACTTTCGTCGTTAAAAAAGTCAGGCTACAACGAGAATACGAAGTAGAATGCAGACATATAAAGAGCGCGAGAAAAATATCCGAAATGATATCGATTGAACCATAAATTAAATGGGGGATGATTTTATGTTCCGAGCGACCGCTCTCTCTTGTTTTATTAAAAGCCATCCCTTTATTTTATATCTATATAAATCACTCCATCAAAATGTTTCAAAATTTTAATTTTGTACAATATATTTTTTTTTCTTTTTACGCAATATGCGTATATATGAAATTTGCGACATAATATAGCCTTCGTTCTTAAAATATGTTACGCGGGAAGCACAATCTTTGTATTATCGACATTCGCTTTTTCTTTCTTTCCTCTCTTTGAGGGAGCGAACGCTTGACGCTGTCTACGGTGGGGGTCAAAGGCGAGCGAGGACATTTTACTTAAGGTCACTGTGTTAACCGTGCCGCAAGGATTCCATTAACACCTAGAACGCGAACGGTCGGCCGAGCACGCGGATGAAGAAGGACGGTGTTTTCTCGGGGCGCGTTTAATAGAAAACAGGCGAATAGCCTCGTTAAGTTCGATATAAACGCTTCAATAAGCAATGCAACGTCCTATAGGTGCCGAGATGGTTATATAGGGATGCAACGTTAGAACGCATCTGTCTTTCCAATTTCCTCGAGAGGAAGAGAAGCTTTCGAAAAATATTATTGTAAGTCTAAACGTATAGGATTTCTTGATATTTTTTTATTTTAGCAAAACATTTATGTTTGGACCTTAAATATATTATCGCGTACACAGAAAGAATTTTCTCTTAATATTTACCACAATAAAAATATTAATATCTACCACAATGAGATATAAAATATGTTCGATTGATTTTACTATGTATATATTGATATTTTTTATTGTGATAAATATTAATCAGAGAAACTCTTATCAAATTCTTGATTTTCAGGGTAAACTCTAAGAGAAAAAATTCTCTCGCGTATACATTTATTTTAAATCAACATGTTCTACACTCTTGTTTCTTTATAGCTTTAGATTTAGATTTCTGTTTAGTTTGGAAAATGTACGAAATAAAATTTCTCGTTTGCGAAATGGATCAGCTTCGTAAATATATATATATATATATAGTATGGCAAATAACGACGCGGCGTAATATTGTGAAATAAGCGAGCGAGACGTAGCAGAAATCCGATCGCAAAAGCGGGATCACACGCGCGTGTAAGAGGTCAGAGCTGGCGGAAAAGTCGTTGTTGCCGGCTGGATTTATCGGTCGTGCCGATTCATCGAAATGTCGTCGTCGGTGTCGCGACATTTCCGATATCGCGACGAGGGCGTCTCGCACAACGATCAAAAATAAGAGATTAAATTTAGAATTTTATTCTAATTATCGTACTATACATTTCTCACATTTTGCGATTTTGCTCGTGCTAAAACATACGATGGAGATGGATGGGGAAAGGAAAGGAGAGGAGGAGGAATCACCGAACAATATAATATATCTCTCCTCAAAGTTAAATGTCGACCAGACTGGCAATCATTTATTATAAATAATTAGTTGAAATACAACGTTTCGGCTGTCATTGCAGCCCTTTTCAAGTAAATCTATAAAAAGTTACATCAAAATAATTATAATTTTAATTACACTTCATCGCTACAAATAATTATACATTCAAAAACGAAAATATGCTACATACCAAATTAATGCAGTAATATAATATAGGTACGTTAAACTGAAAATGAATATATTAAAAAAAATTTCTGTTTGGAAAAATATATATATATATATATATATATTGTTTCGCTATTATATCTTGTCACGTGCGTAATCATGAAACGGTTATCATGCGGTTATCACCCTTCACTTCGAGTTGGAGGCTTATAAGATTCGACATAACACGACGATACTCCCGATCATTATATCTCGGTCACGCATGATTGCTTCATACGCCCGAACGACAGTATCTCTCTAGAGATTCTCTCTCGGAAGTCAATCTTGCACGTGATATCGTGAAGAACCGCCACAAAAACCCGAGGTAACTGACATGAATCAACGAATACGGAAGTTTCGCAAATCATTTTTCAAACGGTGATTAATATGTGATGGCTTCACAGGAAGTTCTTTGAATTCTAATTTCAAACTTTGCTTCTGAATATTGATGAGAGATTTTCAGAAATTTTACATAAGTTTCTCGAAAAAATTTAAAATTCAATTCTAGAAATAAATGTATATATATATATATGTATTTATATACACAATTATTTATACAAATGCATATATAATAATTAGCATAATTATTGTTGACACTAACGCATTTTAGTAAAAGACGGATTATTAATATTTTCAGTTCTATTTGCTGTTAATATTAAGCAGTTGATATTAGTTTATTGGACAGGAAATGTCTCGCTTTTACATCTTTAATTTATCTCCATTTGAATATCGAGTAATTAATTTAAATAATTTGGGCTTCTCTTCATTTTTCGTAGCAAACTATATTTGCAATTTAATTTCTGCAAGTAAAGTAGGATTGTAGGTATGGAAATGTTTGGAAAATCGAAAAGATTTTACCACTATAATTTTTTTATATTGGCTCTTTAATATTTATCACTTTCTGGTTTCAATTATCATTATGATTCGTTCGAGTTATGAATAATAAATGAGTAAATTAATTATAACATTCTGCAAAACTCAAATACCCGGAAGGTCCAACATTTCATGATTGAATGATCTCGATGTTTGGGGAGTTTTACATACGGCTCAGATGAACTGATATAGAGAGCTCGGACACTCGACAGATCCGTGAAAGATTGCGAGACTTGCTGAGATCAGCATAGAACGGTACAATATGGAGCTTTTGTGCGACGAAATGAAAATATCCACGGAATTTCCCGTTGTCCTCGGAATGTTCGTATTAAGAGCTCGTGGCCGACGTCGTGTCTGGACTCCTGACGTGCGCCAAGATAAGACGAGCTTCCTCGAGCGTTTCGTTCTTACGTAAGCGGTGTCGACGGGCGTTATATTGCTACCGTTTACGTCGGCGCATAACGTTAGGTGAAATCGCGTAGCTTAAGCGCGGCACGTTCGGGTCGACGAGAACCTTGAAGCGAGAATACATGCAGGTGGAACGAATTTTCGTTTTCTCTCTCTCTCTTTCTCTCCTTCTTTCTCTCTCTCTTGTGCAAGACATTGCGCGCACCTGTCGGACGTCCTCAGGGAATTCCTGCGAACGACGACAGATAGCCGCTGCCTCGCGCTGCGCCTCGAAAGATGGCAATATATTTGCTTTAATTGAATGGCGTGTTATGTAGAAATGAATTAAACCCAGAATTCATTTAAGGAAACTAATTGTATGCATCCAGTTGTGGGCTGACAAAATTCAACTTTGTACTTTACACTTAATTTATTCAGAATTTTTTAGACAGTAGACAGATTTTTTTCCATTACCTCAAACATAAATAAATTCATAAAAGCGACACGTTTTTATGTAAAGAATATAGACTGACATATTTTAGGCAGTTGATAATTTTAAGTGCTCAATTTGCACCGTAAATTTATACAAGGGTGGAATCTTATTTTTTATTATTGCTCTAAAGCAGTCACTTTTTTTAATCCAATTTCTAGCGTAGTGGAAGTGAAAGTGGTAGTTCCGGAACATCCTATATTCACATCATATATTAGTTATTCGTCGTCGTTCGCGTGCGACGCTATTGCAATCAGAAGCGCAACGTCATGTTACGTCGTCAAAAACTGTTTTAACACGGCGCTTCATTCGCCGGAATGCAATTGTTTCAAAAACGCGCTGCATTTTTATAATTAGCTGAAAATACGATTTTATCTGTTTGCTGATAACACTTGATTCCCTGAAATCTTTCCGATACACAATGATACACAACTTTGCAACGCTCATTGGCGCCTCGATGTCGAAACGTTGGAATTAAATCTCCCGTAGTGGTATTCGTGACTAAGAATAAACATGCGACTTTCTTGCATAAATCATGTATTCTAATGTATATTATCTCAGTCTTTCTTTTACATGGACTATGGATATATATATATATATATTTAGAAATCATCGTTCATTCTTCAGTGATAAAATAACGATGACAGAGAAGTTTTTATTTTATTGTTTTTTTTCCTAAATTAATGATGCAATTTTTATCACGTTTCGTGATAAAAAATTTGAAGCAGGCAATGCAAGGCATTGTTTCGATGTTATTTATTGATCATTATACTTTGCATTCTATTTTTACATTAGCTGAAATGCCGTAAAGCTTTTTTTTATGCAATGATAAAGAGTATGTCGGGCGACGCGACGTATCGGTATCAAACAACAGGAGCTTTCCGAGTTATATCTTTATTTACCTTACGGTTGTTTACGTCGCGAGATTCTGATTCTTCAGTTATGTAGGCGCTGAATCACGCACTCCCACATTTTTTTCCTTATCCCGATCCGGCCAAGCAATGATGCCCACGCGCACGTTCAATACTTTATTTCATCGTTTATATTTCATTCTTGGTGACTCAGTTCTCATTCCCTGCCGCGGGTGCACTTGTTGAATCTGGCATACTCATTCCGATAGTTTGCTCTTTTTCTCTCTCTTTTTCTCTTTCTCTCTCTTTTCTGCTTTCTGCATCTTGCATATATCGTTGCAATTCGGTCACGGTTGGGTGGAATATCGTTTCCATATCTTTTCGCAAAAATTCTTCATTTTAAAAAAACGTTCTTGCCACTTTAAGATATTTGCAGAAAATAGCTTATAAAAATAGTTATGTTAAAGTTATTATGTACTATATAGTTACATTACCCTACAGAACCCTCCACGTTTTGCAAGAATGGAGAAACGTAATTTTTTTTCCATTTACTTACTCCGCTGCTCAAGTTGAATGCATTATATATATATATATATATATATTATTATATTATAGAAAGTTTCTCTCTCTAACTTTGAAAAATATATAGAGAAAACTGCGTAAAAGTATACCTAATTCAAAAAATTTTTCATGGTTATATATATATTTTTTAAAGCTTTGAAATCATTTAATAAATGTGTTCTTCTTTGTTTGCAGATACATGGATAGGATCTTTCAAATGCATTCAACTTGAGCAGCGGGGTAAGTAAATGGAAAAAAAATTACGTTTCTCCATTCTTGCAAAACGTGAAGGGCTCTCAATGAATGTCCAACGAAATGAACGGCGTAAATATAAAGTCACAATATACACTGCGTCGATTTAAAGATATGTATTTATAGAATTGCATATGTTGAATATGTTACTTTCATGTGGCACTATATAAAATTTTGGATTTATATATATAAATTTTATTTAATAGAATTCTAATGGAATGATTTTACGTTTTATTTATTTAATTCCGTACAACAATTCGGTATAAAATATCAATGCAAACAATCATTTGATTATATATAAATGGAAAATGTCGAGAATTTATATAGTAACGTAATTTATTTCTGCAATGAAAATCAGGCTGTTATTAAATACGTCGACATTTCTCACGTGGATGCAAACCTTCGATATTTTTTTGTATTTCCTGAAATATATTGCAGATGATATTTCATATATTATTGACATATATAGAAATGTCATATGACTTTTCGTATATTATGTAAGGAATATAAATGTCGAAACACTTTTATTGAGAAAAGAAATATCAACGTTTAAAAAGAAGCTAACGAATGAACTACTGCATCGTTATCGAACTTATCATTTATCGCTCGCCGATGTACATATATGCGGCCCGATGATTATTGCACTTGGCTCCGCGATGTCCGGCACTTCTCGCGACCGGCGAAATCCACAAAGGCGTTCGTCATGCAGATGCGTTATCGCGTTGCGAAACGCCCGAGCTAGACGTAAGGAGGCTGAGAGAGTGGGAGAGTCGCAATGATGCGATGACGACTCGTTTCGTCGCGCGACGCAGTTTCATGTCTCTTCGGCCTCCGCGATTAGCGCCTGCGGTTTAATTAGTCGCGACGGCGCGAGAGAGAAAGAAAATTAACGTCGCGAGAAGAGCAATTGAATATTATAATTTGTTTGATATATCGATGAATTTTAATTTAGGAAAAATCGATTATCAAAAATTGTATGCATATGCAAAAATTTCACAGGTGTTCCTAGATATTTCTTACTTGATAAATCCCATCTTTAAATTCGTATATCTTAGAAAATAAGAAAAGATATATAAATGACGAGAAAATTTTTATACAGTTTACTCATTCATATGTTTAATATCATTTCTATTGAATAAAAAGATAAAAAGATAATTTATCTTTTGGCACGCGCGCGATATTCATGGCGCGATCATTAATGGAATAAAAGTCTGAATGGATCTTTAGAACGCCAGCATAATCGTGTATCGAGTTACACTTATTGTTAATAACCGCATGAACGGGCGAATCACAGTGTTACGATCCCTTTGTGCATATCTCTGTCATGTAGTTACAACGCGATGATATGTGCACAATGAGTCTGTAATCTTATCTAAAGTCAACCATCTCGTAACTTTTGTCGACGTCGAATCGATGTGCTTCCGTTTCGGAATTACGGAGAAATTAAATTTAAGCATAATTAATATTACATACAAGGCATAATTAAATACTAATTTATTATCCGTTTTTAATTTCTGCCTGATTTTTTTTACTTATATGATAAGTAATTTTAGAGTATTGATATATCGCGAAATTAAATAAATCGCAAAACATTTTAATATTAATTATAAAAAAATTAATTACATTAATATAGTTTATTCTTATAGCAATGTGAACACGATAAAGGATTGTTTATTTTACTTTTGAAAATTATTTCGCAAGTAATAATTTTGAAACTAGAATATTTTGATAATATTTAATTCGAGAAACAATTTGATATCAAACTAATATGTGTTAGCTTTTTTCTTTAATTTTTGACTATTTTATTGTTATGATATTATTACAAAAAAGAGATTTTTAACAATTTTATTTGCAATATTTTTAAATGTTACAAACTTTTATAAATTCTAAGGCTTTTATAAACTCTAAAAAACTGACACAAAAATTTTAATAACTTTTATTATTTAATTTTCAAAAATATTCTTGTAGTTTTATTTTTTCGCAAAATTTGCGTATACCTATATAATATATCTTTCAAACATTTTATTGAAATAAATAATACAGAAAATTTAATGCAGAAATTATATAATATTGCATCATTGAAAATTTAATTTTTCATAAATTGATATCTGTGATATAATATTCTCAAATTCAATAAAATTCCAAACTAGAGGAAAAATAAATTTAATAAATAAATAATTTTAAATAATTCAACTCACCAGTACGAAGCGCAATGATAGAGTTATAGAACATAACAATATATATTCAAATGATCTACATTATAACGCGATGTCTAAAATAATCAGTGTTTCGAAAATAATTATATTAATTATTGCGTAGATAGAATTATATTTGTATCTGCATAAACAAATAAAAAATAATAAAAGGCATTAGGTATACAGAATTTCCGAAATACTGTTTTAAAACTTGTATAAAATGTTAAGAAATAGAACTTTAATTTTTACATAAATAATCTAAAGAATTATATAGGTATAAAATTTTAGATATAAATATTTTATTATATACTCGAAGTATTTAAAAAAAAATGTTTAAATAACATCTACTAATAGGATGTACTGCACAATGATGTAAATTAAGTCATTACCACGAAGATAAACGAATTAGTTTTAACTGATTCTTTAATTAAGTTTTTACAAAAACAAGATAATAAACTAACAAAATTGCGAATTGCTTGTTACATGATTGTTTGCTATCCGATGCCTTCCTGGCCTTCTTCTCTCTTGTTTATCCTCTGCTGTTTCTTCAAAGCACTTACACCTTACACAACACTTACTCGCGAATACACGGTTAATTATAATTGCACACGTACTAATTACAAGAACACGACGATTTTACAGCACTTTACAACTTACTCTCTTATGATGATAATCACTTACTTTATTTTATATTTCGACAAAAGAAAGAAAACACGAAAATTATACATACTTTGAGAGATACTGATTGTGAGAGTCTCGTCGCGCGAATGACAACAAGGCGGCCGCTCGTAAATAATAACACGATATTAACTATTACATAGTATTTGGCGTTCTTCGCGGCCTATATCGTGCTATTGTTTACAAGTGATCATCGTGTTGTCACTCATGCGGCGAGGCTCGAACGGGAAGAAGCAGAGTGTGACACTTTCGTATTATCTTTCGTGATTTTCGCGTTTTCCCATCGCGATACAAATAAAGTACGCGATTAACGTCATAAGTGAGGTGTACATAAAATGTCGTATAATTGTCGTATTTTTGCAATGCTGTAGTGCACGTGCGATCGTAATCAACACCCTTTCGTGCGAATACAAAGAGCGACTAAAGCAGTTTTAATTTATCTCTTATTTGTGTGAAAAAGTCATTTATTTATCTTGTTTACGGTGTAATGACTTATTAAAAGCATGCGTAGTATTATCTCGAACATAAAGTCGGAGTTTTCTATATCAAGAAAGCAACCTAAATAAAGTTTGAAGGTATCGGTTCGCTGATGTCGTTTCCTACGACTAGTGTGAAAATATCTTTAAGATGCAAACGAAAGTTTTCAGACATTCTGAATAAATAAATAGCATTGTCGTAATACTCGTCAAATATCTTCTGTCTGTTACTACTTTGGAACGCTATTTATCTATTTTCTAATTTTACTGTCGTTTCATATCTGCGATATGCACAAGCTCTTTTAGACGAATATTTTTTTTTTAAATTGTCTTGATGACGCAAACGTAAAGCCATTGCGTTAATGAGTCAGTAAGCAGGCCGCATATGTGTACGGAAAAGCAATTGTACTCTATACGTCAATCATGTGTTTCGCTTGCTTCGAATTTCGTCATTTGACATGTGCTGGGAGACACATATCGCGAAGCATTCAGGGTCGCACAATCTTGCTCTTTCTCTCTCTCTTTTTTTTCTTTACGTTTGTCCTTCTCTCCCGCGTTTACATATCGCGTATGACGCAAATATATTCGCAAAACGAACGTATAATGATTCGCCTACCCGCGGCATTTTTTGTCAATCTGTTTTTTTAGAAGCGCCGAGTCTATATGTATCTTTCGATGTTCGGATCAGCTCATTCGAGATGTCGGATATAATTTCGCGATTAGGTGGACAGGCGTGTCATGGAACGGAGGATATTAAACTTCGTCTCCGATACGGCGATCGTGATTTATCGCAATCGTTTCGTCACGTAAGATTAAGCGCCACGAAAAGGGAGATGTGAATAAATACCGAAACATTAGCATCTTTTATTTATTTATTTTGTTTTTATCAAAATTTCTGAAAAAAGCCACGATATCAGATTATGATTTCTGAATATAGTGCGTCATTTGTAATTATTGTGACTAATACATCCTGGTATATATTTATGAAATATTTAATTTTTTTCTCTCTTTAAATCTCTGTGATTTTAATTATAAGACATATGTTGTGCTTTATGTCAGGAGAAATTGAAAATAATTTCAATTACTGTAACCGGTAACTAGATGTGTGAAGCTGGCGTCTGATTTGTGGAGATTTATAAATAATTAGAGATTAATTTTGACTTTATTTTCAATATAGGTACTTCTGCCTTTTAAAAGCAAAAACAAATTAATTAAGCTAAAATAAAAACCGAATTGACATGTGAGTCGATTTTCGAGAATTATATACTTATTCTAAAGCTATATCTTTTCGAACGAATCTTCTTCGAATTTTAATTATTTATTAATTATTAAGTCATGTATAGTATCGCGCGCGCTATTAGAATGAAGTTGTCGATGTTTGTAGAATAACCTCGGCCATTATCGAAACTCGAAACTGCGTCTCTCTGTGATTAATTAGTATATTAGTAATAATAGCAAGCATATAATCATTTCTAGCCTTTGTATAATATTTATCAATCGCATATCATAATTTCAACGTTCATGTAGTCGTAATTGTTCGAAACGCACATTTCGCGAGAAATTCGATGCAAAATCTCTTGGTCAACATAATCCAACCTAATTTAACCTGTTTTTGCGCGCGCGAATGTGTGTTGTGATATCCTTAATTCTAATTTAAATATTTATATTGTGTATGTCATAATATGTCAAATAATAAGATTATCCTAATAATGCGTGTGTATTTTATTTGTTACAGATAGCATTTGTGATTCACGCGTGTGTCGGGAGTGCCGTGTAAAGTTCCGCGTATCGGGAGTGCCGTGTGAAGTTTCGCGCGTCGGGAGTGCCGTATATAGTGTCGGGCGATCGTAATTATTTGTATTTTCGCGAGTGTTGTGAGTGCTACCAAGAGAGGAGGAGGAGGCCTGGGAAGGCATCGAGCGACAGCAGAGTAACTGTGAGGTACATATGCAAAATAACATTTTTTTCTAAATTGCATTATTTTATTTTTTTCTAAACTGCATTATGAGATATTCGATCATTTCTAGACTTGCAAAAAACCCTGTATACACACGTTTATACATAATTTTTGTATATTTTGTTTTCAGATCACTATGTGCTGAGTACTACAACTTCACTATTGCACGTGGCGGTGAGTAAGAAATTATTTATTTTATTACATTTCTATTAGCGGTAATAGAGGGATATGTGAAGTCTTATTTTGTGGAAACTCATAAATAATTAAGAGTTAATTACTGACTCATAAATATAATTAAGTATAATTACTGATAATTAATGATAAGAAAAATGTCGTAGGACAAAGCGAGACGCTGCTTGAATTTGGCATCTCAGTTTCTCAGTTAAGATAAATTCGTTGCTTTAATGGTTAGAACAATTTGTTTTAATTATCAAGAACTCTACATAGAACTACTGAAGCGGCAGAACTTTTAATTATTTATAAGTTTTATGAAATGAAACATCGCAGCTTTATACAGGTAACTGGACTTTAGAAGTCTGATTTCTTTATTGTTTACTTTACGAGTTAATTTTATAATCACGTTTAGAAAAGGTACGAATAAACGATGCGTGCTTAATTTTTTTAGCAAAGCATCGAATACAAATGCTAATTAAATCTATGATATTAATGCGTTTAGATATTTACCCGATATCTGATATTTATTTATTATTCGCTTTGCGTATTGCGTTGATTTTTTTACGGCCTGATTATTGCATTAATTATGAAGTATCATAATAAAAAATGAATAATTTTATGTCTTGGGAGAAAGTTCAGTGTTCTTCAATCTTATTACGCGTGTTTTCTGTCATTATACGAATATATTTTATATTAATCCGGTAATTCATTAGTGACATCCGGAGATTCATTAGTGAAATATTTATAACGAATTGTATAATCAGTGATTTTCGTCGAAAAGCACGTGATTCTATCAAAATAACAAAAACCGTTCCGAATAAAATAATCAAATTACTCGCAATGTAGCGATAAAAACACAATGATAGGTATAAAAATAATTGACCGCGTATAATTCATGAAAATACTTATCGATCGCTTATATAATTCGAAAGCATTTAATAAATTTCTTCTCTTGGTCGTTAAGACTCATTGAATAGAGGACGCAACAAAACCCATCGTATATTCTGTTACATAGCTTTCGAAGCGTATACCATATAGAGAATACGTGATTATACATATCGCCGATGGGTAATAAACCAGACACAAACACACGGAGACACGCGTACGCACAAACGCGCGCGCGTGTGTATCCGGAATTTAAATAGGAGTCGCGGATGCGCGTGGACAAGCGCCGCAGTTGTTACCGCAGTTTCATATGCACGCACACGCGACCACGTGCGGGAAAATCGCGTGCAGATGCTGCCGCGCCGATCCTTGTGCTCTTGCATACGCACATTCATCTCGCGCGTTGTTTTCGTCCGCATTACATATACGGGCGTATGTGCAACGCTCTGTATAAAGTGTCGCCCCGGTTACAAGCAGCAGCAGCAGCATGAGCTCTTGGACGCACGAAAGCCGCATGCTCCGACGTGATATTGCAAATTCCGCGTGCTTGCGATAACTTTTCCCGCGCCATCTTATCCCGTCAGAATGTTACCTCGCGTATGCACGCGTTTAATCCGCGATCTCTCGCGTACACGAGGAAAGACGTTTGCATTACATTTACATTTACATTTTCGTATTTTGTTTCAAATCATTTAGTTTGCAAAATTATATACAGAGTAGGAATATTTTTTTATTCATTATTTAATTATTATTTTTGTAAGCTTTTTATGTATGCATTAAATAAAATGCAATATCGGTTATATCGAATCACAAGTATATACAATATGTCTGTAATAAAATTTCGCGTTTATTTATGTATCGCGAATTATAATTCATTTTTCCATATATGATAAAGCAAAAATTCAAGCAAAGGATTATTCGTTTTATCAATAAAAGGATAGTGGCGAACGTGCCTGGAAATTGAAAGCACGATAAGACAGAGAATTGACGTCATTCAATTATCCGCTGCACTTTCTTCGATCGTAGAGATTATTGGCAGCGCCATTTCTCGCATTGCAATAATCGAGTTATATTGGAACGAGTCCGATTAATTTGTACTTATTATTTATATGTATTGTACATCGGCGATATTCGATATGAAAAATATATAAAATAATGCATGAATAGGTTTTCGGATTTTGGAAGATATTCAATCACAACGGCAAAATAACCTATATGGCGGTAATTGAAAAATACTATAGGTGTCAAGAATATTAATTCGACAGCAAAGAGATACCAGCGATGAAATCTCAATTTAAGCAGAAATTTAAATGAAAAAATTAATTAACGTACCAAGTTCTTCTTAGTTCTAAATCAAGTATATCATAAAATTTATATTATATCGTTTTACATTTGCAAACTCTTAATATCGGATGACATGAATATAATATTTAAATATATGGATTTTTGAGCTTATTCATAATACAGCACATATATAATTTAGCATTTAGTATTGCATTTAGAGTATTTTAAAATACTACATATATAATATATATTTATTTTTCTCTCTTTTTTTCTCTTCGGAAAAATTTTATAAATAGAATGTGTGAAACGGTGCAACTTTTATATTGGAAAAAAAATGTGTGATATGAAATTATGATTATTAATGATTCGCGAGAGCAAAATTACAGTTTTTATACCAGTGATCGTCGATATCCTGGTCATCTGCTGTAATTAATACAATTATATGTCGCGGTAATATATAAACGCCGCAATCGAATAGACGAGAATGATCTGAACAAGCCGGTAATTTTGCGGCAGATGAACGGCCTTTTGCCATTGGTAATTACGGTCTTTGCCATTAATGACTCGTTCGAATAAAAAGCGACTTGCGTGCGCAACGGTGGCATGTTGTGCAACGTGTCTAGAGATGTAACCGTTTATTTATGTCTACTTTTAACAGTAATAAGATCACGAAATGGGAACGAAACATTTCACATTGTCCTATGATCAGTGTCATGCACGTATCTCTATGAAGAGATATATTTTCTATTTTTTAAATAACAGTATTTCAAACTTTACTTACTCGACTTTAATGAATGTTTCAAATCAAAATATTGTACAAAAATTTCGCCAATAATATCAGCTAGGAGTTTGACAAATGTATAAAATAAATTCAACTGGATACGTTTTAATACGCATAGTCTACTGTAAAGCCATTTTTTATATTGCCATTTTTTATGTTTATTAAACTTGATATTTCTGTGGAATTTTTAGCTAAAGCGTATATATTGCTCCTTTTCAAATATTTTGACAAAATATTATTTTAATTTTTTTATACATAAGGAGACTGAATATTTCTTAAACACACACATATAAATTATAAAATTGCAAAATTAATAAGAAAGTGACTATTTGATACTGTTAGCGAGATAATCGCTCTTACCCCTAATTATTTTATCCGTTACGGATCGTGGAGCACGTGTCTCGTATTAATTATCCGAGACGATATAATGATCGATCGCCGCTCAGTTTTCTATACTTTAAATCGAATGTCATAGCGGGATTATGGACAGAATCGGGATGCAACGGATACTTGGGAAGAATAAAAAAAATCGTACAATTATCAAATAAATTAAAGCTTTTCTTGTTCCTTTTGTATTACAGATTTTTCTTTTTCAACGCGCACGTATAATTATATTATCCAATTAGAATTATAATCTTAAATCTCTCACGTCAAAAGCATACGACTTACAATCCTTGCATTGATGTTGTTTTCAAAATAGTTCATATGTTAAAATATGCACCGCCAAGAATTGGGATCATCTAGCTAAGCTAAGAGATTAATTTTCTCCGCGCGCGTGCACTCGAGTCATTCTCGCGTTGTCTCTTGTCGGAATGCTCTCGCCTGTCGACCGGTTACAACCGTGTCGTGGTTGTCACCTGTCAGGTTGTCACTCGGTCGTCCAATTATCCTGATGCCGGGTGGCGCGAGAGAGCGAGAGAGATAAAGCGAGGCGCGGCTGTGTTAGTCGACCGAGTTCAACGGGTTCTCCGGAAGAGAAGTGGGGCGTGCTCTCCAGAACGGTGCCGGGTAGGTCGAAAATAGGTGCGATAGGTAGGATGTTACCTGAATATTTTACGGACGACCCGCTGGTGGTTAAGTCCCGTCGTTATCCATGGCCTCGCTATAAAAAGCCACGACGGGCGCCGGCTCGAAGGCGTCGTCCTCAGTCTTTCTCGAGTTCATCGCGCCATACTTCTTCATAGTTGCCTTTATTTTCCGAGAGCGATCGCCCTTGGCGAAGCGATGCCCGAGGGGGGCCTTCTATTCAAACGACGGACGGTGTCCCTTATTCATTCGCGTCGTTCGCGAAACTCGCCGGACGAGTAGCCCGACCGGATCGAAGTATCGATTCGACCAGAAATTGCGCCGCTGACGATTCCGTAAAAAAAAAGAATCTAACAGAAATATTAGTGTGAATATGTTTCGAGCTTATTAAATACTGTCATTTGCATTTTTTATCGCTAAGTTTAAAATATAAAAGCGGTAAAGGGAGGAAATCGGCAATTTTATTATCTATTTGGAGAATTTACTTTCGTATAAATTTAAATACCGATCTAGTTACATTATTTAATATTAAAATTGAGGTAAATTAAATTTGATAAATTTTAGTTATGGAAATAAAATTAGGGGAATTTTATATAATTTTATATATAAATTTTTTATAATCTCTTATTTAGAATTTTTATTTTTAAGACTGTTTTATCACATAGTAAAATAAAAATAACATAGTAAAGTGTCGACAAGAATTTTGTGATTATCCTCTGCAGTATCATTCCTTACACTGGCATGTCTTTTTCCGAGACAAAGAAACCATTGAGAACGTAAATCGTTGAGAAAAATGTAAGACGTCAATTTGGTCGAGGTTATCGAGGTAGGTTTTCCGACTGGTCTGCTTTTTCCAGAGGATTTTCTCATGGTTTCGAGAGTGAAAATGAACGAAAAGCGGCACTAAGCTCGGTTAAGGGATGAAAAGGAAGTAAAATAAAATAGGAGAAGAGTCTCCCTTTCTTGTAGACTATCTCTGTGTATAGTATATACATACACCTTAGAAAATCCTTGCGCCAATGTGATTTGCAGCTTCCGCCAATTTTCACCGGAAGAGACTCCGACTATACATCTGCCTTAGAGAGAAAAATGGTGTTCATTGTTTCTGAATTGGAATTCTCAAGTGGACGTTGCCGGTTAGGTCTTATATATATGTATATCCAGGATAAATTTTATGAATATTATCTTTAGAAAAAAAATGAATATGGAATAAGCTAGGTATAATCAGTGACACAATATTATTTTTACATATATACATATATTTCTTCGGTGAAATTACAATTTTATTTATTATAATATATGAAGATTAAATAGAGATTTCATATACAAAGTTTTTACTTAATATGTATGAATATCAAAGGCATCATTAAATTAGTCAAATAACAGTAAAAATAACATTATTGTATTATAATAATAAAAAAAGAAAAATATGTTTATCATTATTTTGTAAAGATAATGATTATTGGAATATTTTATAAAAATAATACATTATAATAGTAAAAAAGAATATCGATAGCACAATTTATTGTTTTCCTAAGAAAAATGAGATATCTTATTTCTTGACTGATGCAGACCGATTTACACTGATAACATCGGCGATGTCGCTTCGTCGAAAATTTACAATCATCTTGCATCGAGTACGAAATTAAGGCGATAGTCTTCAAAGTGTGACGAGATCGTGCAATATTTAAAAGATAATCGCCATCAAAAAATTCTACTTTTTCGCGCAAATGCATGAGAGAAGGTTCTCTTATTATTTTAACCAAATAAAACATGATCTGTATAAATGACACGGAAATATTACAAGTATATATATATATATATATATATATATATATAATATATATTCTTTATTACAAATTTATTCAAATTCATACAAAGTTAAATTTTTGCGTACTTCCTAGTTTTGCTACACATTATTAAATTCAGTCTTAAAAATGAAAGACATGTCTGATGAGCATATTATATACGTGACAGTAGACTTTTTCGAATGAAAAATATTAAGATCTACTACAATAAGATATATTAAAAAATTGTGTAAATGGGCACATTGCTTTTTTACCTTAAGAATAAATATTTTTTTAATCATTTGACAATAATACTATATTAATTATTAGTTTTACACAAAGAGAATTAGAATTCACCCTGAAACTCATAGTAATCGTGGGACAATATGGTATTGGAAAAATTTTATGAATTTTATGAGAAGAAAAATATTAATATGATCATATTTTGTATCTTATTGCGGTAGATATTAATTTTTCTTATTGTGGTAAATATTAAATTATCATCTGGGCGTAATTTTTATCGTCCAAATTGTATACTCGCGTGAAAACGTGAGAGAGCAGAAATACGACGAGCTGTTTACTCTGCTTACGAAGTTGCGCTGATTGTAACGACAAAAAACAAGCGATTAAAATATGGCCGAATCTTATCGGCACCGCGACTTTGGTAGTACGCAATCTGCCTTTTATCACTTTATTTGCAAGCTCTGCCGAATTACGATGAGTCATTATTGTCATCGACGAGGCGCGCACCGCATAACGGAGCCTTTCATTATCACTTCCATGCAATCGCTGTGATAACACCTTTTTGACGCGAACATGCTCGTGACAAATATGTACATACAACGTATCGCGAGAATCTAACTTTTAATTGCGCTCAGAACAACTATATATATCGTAGAAAAGTAGTTGACGAGTTTTGACAATAGATAAAAAACTAATTACAGACTGCAAGATATCGAATTTTATTATACGTATAGGAATCTAAAAATATTCGAGAAATTATCAATTTGATAAATATAAATGTATAGATTTTCTGCAAATGTTTGAAGACATCTATTAAATCTATCTATTTATTTCTTAAGAAAATCTTATACATGATATATTCTCTTTCATAATGATCTTTTTATGAATATGTCTGCATATGTATCTTCATCTGTAGCTACAAATTTAGTTTCGCATCAAGCTGCTCTGATATATACTCGTATTACGATTGTATGTTTAGTAATACTGACATAGATGAGTTGGTGTCGATCGCAAGACAATATTGTTACGAGATGATATCAGCGGGGAATTATACCTTCACACTGATAACTGATAAGTGATATCGAACGATTCCATCGGGAATAGTAAATATACATTTACAGGAAGATATTACCGATGCTCGACATAGCTTTGGTTTTTTTTGCCGACCTTATAAAAAAAGGTTCTAGAGTAGTCCTCTTTAAATAAGGCGCATCAGCTATTGTAATACATTACTAAAGGTCGAAAAAGAAATCTTCTGGTATTTCCTTTTCTTTTAACTCTATTTTTTCGTCTCCATCTTCCTTTTTCATCGTCCTATGCTCGTGGTTTCATTTTTTACCACAATACTTCGCTGCCTTTGGAATTCCCTCTTGGGTTTCCCAGAACGCCCGCTGAGAACTTTTCCTAGACATATTTCGCAGACTAAAATTGGATGAAGAAATTTTTGTGTCTCGTCCTTTGAACGACAAACTGAATCTCGAGATTTCTTCGGAGTTTTGTGAGGACCGTCTATGGACCCCAAAATTCTGAAAATTATATATATATATATATATATATATATATATATATGATATATGCATGAAAGGCTAATTAAAAATTCACTTCAATTTGCTTCCGTTTGTAAAAAAATTTAAATATATCATGCCATTTTCTTGAATTATTGAAATATTTAGTTTATTTTTTTAATTTAAATTTATTTATTTAAATATTAGGTTTATTATAAATTGGTTTCTAATTGTGCAAGCAATTTGCACCACGTAAATCGATCGTTAAACATGAAGTATCGACAAACATTCATAGTACTATATCCATTCGTAGGACATCGGAGAAAAAAAAAGAGGAGGTCGGCTAGATACCTGATAGGTTCGTGTGTTGGTGGATGAACGAAAGATCCTAAATCACGGCTCGGTCGTAAATATATCGGGAACAGAAACATGGCAACTGTCAAAGGTTATTTACCCTCTATCGCTTTGTTGTACGTTAACACGGGTTATCGATTCAGGAGAATAATTTGGTGGTGTGCGTGTGTGTGCGATGTGCAAATGAAGTTGATAATCGTAGGTGTGTGCGCTTTTGACGAGTGCATCTGTTTCTGCGATGATAGCGCAATGTCACTTCGATCTATTTCAATCGACGACGCGGATTCAATTTGGACTTTAATCAGACAGATTCAAGATTCGATCATTTTTGCTCTTTGCGTGTTTCCCCAGAGATTTCCAAAGACTGCGAATTATCATCCGCGATCCTATCAAATTTGATAATTGAAAAGTAGAAATAAATCATTTCTCGACGACTTTCAAGTCAATTATTCCCGTAAAAGGTGAAACAATTTCAAATCGAGTTTTTAAAGTCAAGCATTGAGACAAAATATTATTGCACATAAATAATTCAACAGCTATCTTGAAATAAATTAAAATAAAATATAACTATTGTATATTTTTACGAATTCAGGATTATTTAATACATATATATTTTAAATACATATATATCTCAGCTTGTATTGTTCTTGTTATTTTATGGTATCAAATTTAATTCGCGAGAAACAAGCCGTGGTATATATTCGTCAAAATTATATAAATTTATATAAAACGTAAAAATGGCGAATTTCACATTTTACAGTAAATTAATTTTTTTTATAGAAACTTGTCTTCCATCGCGTTAATAGAGATTTTATGCACTGTGCATGCAACGGTAGAATGTAAATTATGCCGAGCAGTGCAGATATTGTCATCGATCGACTACTTGTTCGCGATAATTGATAAATCGTCTCTCTCTCTCTCTCTCTCTCTCTCTTGTATATTGTCGACATAAAATTGCGATATCGCGAAAAGGCCGATGTCGGAACAAGCGCGACATGCGGGAAAAGAGGCGTACGATATATGTAATAACCGGACGTGATAATTGATATCCTGCTGCCTGCTCAGTTCTCTATCGCGCCGCGCGTAGGTGGAATCGCCTTTCATTCATCGTTGCTCCGCACGCGGATGCGGAGCGTTTTAATGCACAATGCATGCACGTTACACAAATACATGCTTTAACGTTTATTAGATCTATCGATCCGCTGCCGATTCCGATATATGATAATGAGATAATTGAAGGTTGACGTAACGATGTTATTTTCTCGAAAGCAGATCGAAGCTTGACAAATGAATGTGTGGCGCAAGTTAATGCTCATATTTATACTGATTATATTCGCCAACGTATTAACGTCTCGCGAGTTTACGGCTTTCGCCACGGCAATTCAATTTTTTTTATTTTTTTTACATAAGTAATTTTTCCGATTAGCAATAATATGATAATTGAGCGTTGGCTTAACGACATGATTTTCTAAAGCAGGTCGATCAATAAATATTGTTCGGTATATGTGACGGGTCTGTATATTGAATATTAATAGATTACAATGTTTCGCTAACGCAATATATTGCAGACTGTCAAGTGTCAAAACATTTTCTTGATTTAATAATTTTTAATTAATGCGTAAGAAAAATGAAAGAAAAGTAAATTTAAATAAAAAATACTAAAAGCAATATTACTTCGCACAACTTTAAATCAACTAGACAGACTTATCTATTTCTGCCAATCGAGAGATTGTTGAACTGAACTGATTTTATCTGGGCAGGTTATTGACAGCGTGAATGCAATAAGTTGGTTTCCTGCGCAATATATCGATACTCATGCTCGCAAGAAAATGATCCTCTAACGACCGTAATTCACTGCTCGTGTGATTTCCTGAACAGTTTCACCACTGATGACTCTAATCGTTCGATCGAAGCAGCAGGTTTATCTCTCCGCGGAAACGATCGCGAATTATTCGATCCTATCGATCCGTGTAAAATCGCATATAATAATATAATAATGGTTCGATAAAATTACTCGTGCTCGAGCTTTAGAAATTATGAATATATTTGGAGTTCGGTTTATTAATTAAATGTATATACGTGCGGGATTCGATATTATATGAATAATTGATTTATTTTTTAAATAATTTGTCAAATGCTTGAAATATATGTTGCGCATAAAAGCAAGACCAGCAGTTAGCTTGAAACTATGACTAGTTCCAAAGTATTAGGAGCGAATAAGATAAGGGAGAAGCTCTGCTCTCTGGTGCAACATGTTCGCATATTCACGTGTATACTTGCGCACATCTACATACACATACACCTGTCAATTAGTTCCTAAGAAAATTAATAAAATTTTTAAATTATTATATTAATGCAATGAATAGTTGAACAATGAAGATAAAACTCGTTTATCATTTTCTTATAATATGGTTATTGGTTTTATTCTAACAATAAATGAGAGAAGTCAAATTTTCATCTGAACATTTTTAAATAAAAAATTAAAATTGCACTTACTTTAAAGTGTCAAACATTTTTATAAATTATATAATATTAATAATTGTCAATTATAATTAAAAAAATATATTAGTACATATATATTTACCTAATAATTTCAATTATCCGATCTCCGAGTTAAGTCATTATCCTTTCCCGCCTTAAACGTCTATCTGGCAAACAACTGCATGCCTCATAAAGAAATTAAAATTGCACTTACTTTAAAGTGTCAAACATTTTTATAAATTATATAATATTAATAATTGTCAATTATAATTAAAAAAATATATTAGTACATATATATTTACCTAATAATTTCAATTATCCGATCTCCGAGTTAAGTCATTATCCTTTCCCGCCTTAAACGTCTATCTGGCGAACAACTGCATGCTCCATAAAGATGAATAAGGCAGAATAGAATTTCACGACTGGTTCGAGCTGCATATACCCGTAGTACGCGTACACACGTATTCCCTCGCGGGTCAACTAGATCAGGTGAGATCAATGGGCGAGAGAAGGAGAAAGGAGCGAGTGGAGTCGCTCGTTGGGGGCAGGTGAGACAAGGTGATACGAGGTTGTTCGGTCCGCGTGAGCGCTAACCGCTAACGAGTAAAAAGCATGAATGGACGCCAGAGCGGCGCCGTACATTATCTTCCCTCCTCGTCTCTTTATTATTATTCTCTCGGCCTCCTTTATCGTTCCGTCTCGCTTCTCGCTTGCGTAGGCCAATCTTGCCGTCCTCTCTCATCGGCCTCCACCTTCTTTCCGTCTTCTTCTCTCGTTCGTCCTCCTTTTTCTCTCTGTTCAGCCTCACCACGAGCGGCCTGGCTCCTTCCTTCCATCGCGTCTCTTTTCCTTCTCGAACGAGTTGTCTCGCTCGTGTTGTAGGGAATCAGGTTCCTTGTGACAGAACACCGCGCACAAAACTTGCTCCTCGTGCACTTTTCAAGTGTGCTTTTTACATGGGAAAGCTCGGAAAACTCGCTTTTTTCCTGACGGACTGTCTGAGTCACCTTCAAAATTATTTCCTGAAGATCAAACGTGATAATGATTTAAAATAGAGATTTCAAAGTTCATTTCTCGCGAAAAATTTCTAAAGTAAAGATATTTTACATTTATTTTAAATTGTATATGAAAAAAAGAGAGAAAGAGAAAGAAAGGGTATATAGAATAAAGTAAAATTTTATGTAAAATTTTTTTATGAGGAAATATGACATTTAATACCAACGGTATACTGCAAAATTACGTAGATAATATTGCAGACATTTAAGCATGAAGAGCACAATTAGTTTTTACAATCATAGATGAGATGCCGCGATATGATAACACAATTTAGTCTTTATAATGCAGCTACACAGAACAGCATAGAGCAATATAATATATTCTCTTATATAGTTATTCTTTCTACTTGCTATTACATAAACATACATTGATCGCCTATCAAAGAAATCTTTAACTTCAAGATTACGCAAAGATTGCAAACCGAAGCCCTGTTTCTATAGGTATATATCTACGTCAGTGTTTGGCGTCATCTTTATACAGATAATAAAAATATGTATTATCTATATATCTGCATCTCAGATGAAAAAAAGTATTATTTTTACTAAATTATCTAGAATAATTTTCAGATAATTTTGGTTTAGAATCATAGCACATAAAATACTTAAATAGTACACTGAGAAACTTTTTTTCTAGAATCTACCCTGAAATACATGGTTATCGTGGGACAATATGGTATCGGAAGAATTTTATAAGAGTTTTACTGATTAATATTTATCACCATAAAAATATTAATATCTAGCACAATAAGTTATAAAATATACTCGATGAAGTTTACTATGTACATAGTAAAATTTTCTATGTACCTATTTAATATTAATCAGAGAAACTCATAAAATTCTCCCAACACCATATTATCCTACGATCACCATATGATTTTCAAAAATTCCAACTATAAATTCTAAGAGAAAATTCTGTCCGTGTAGAAAAAAAAAGAATGACCTAGGAGGAGAGAAGCAGCTGCGTAAGCTCGGTGGTTATGTCAACGTGTCAGAGAGACGATCTTCGCGGCCGTGAGGTTGCCTTTTATGTCCACGTAACTCGACGGGACCCTGCGCGAACCTTCTCGTCTTGGAGAGGGATCCACGAGGGCATCAGACCCCGTTGAGACGCGAGTTTGATCGGCGCGCGAGAAGCTGGGCGCGCGAGAGCGTCGGCGGAATATCAAGGAGCTTCTTTCCGGAGAGAGCACTGGCGTAAGAAAGGTTGAATGGGGAAGGAGGGACCCGTCGTTGACGGAGGGCCTTGAAAGGGACTGAAAATCGCGTCGTTTAGCAACTCCTGAATGGAGGAGACCGCCGCGCCGAGTCGGTCTCTTTCACTACCTACTTTTTCTCCTCCTCGAGTAACGTTGCTACTGGCAGACGGATAATTAAAGAGATATACTCGCTTACTTGCTTTTTTGTCCACCGCTCTTTAAGCGGCAGCTCTTCCGATTGAGGTAGCCGCAGATCAAATTAAAGGACCGCTTTCCTGTAGATTGAAAAATTCTAATTTCGCCTAATGTTATATCAGCGGAATTATGACGTTTTTTTTTTTTTTTTTTTTGTAAAGAAGGTTATATATAAATTAATTAATGAAAGGCTCGTATAAATTAACAAAATTTAAAAAAAGGTGAATATTGTAGGCCAACTAAACGAGCAATTAAATAAGATCTAAAGATTTATTAATAATTAAATAAGGTTATATATGATTATTATGTATGCATTAATGCATTGGTTGAGTAAACGGTATCGATTATTTTGTTTTTATATAATAAATCAATTATAATGGATGAACTTCTGATTGAATCATTATTATCAGAATGAATTTGATTGAGTCATCTTGTTGGTGATTAGCGATAATGTTAGATGCGCATTAAATTATTGATCTTCGTATGAGAGAAGAAAAAATAATATTCGTGATAACGCGGGTTTTCCTCTAGAAGATTTCCTTAAAAGATTTCAGCGTTTACGCAAAAACTACTCATCTGTTTAATGAAATATTCGTTGCAAATAATTTTTTTTCCAAAATATTAATTCGTTCAATAAAATTAATACATAATATGAATTATAAAATATGGAGACTAAGAGAAATGTTTTTCTCCACCAAAGATTGGTTTCGTGGAAGGGTGTAATTTTGTCTCTGTAAATTATCGAACGGGATTCCAGAGCGAATCCTTACGTACGCGCGGAGAATATCTTCTTTCTACCTTCTAGGTTGAATGTGAGGAGAGATTTTGTGCCGATTCGTTTTCAGCTGATCGTCCCTTTGCGCGGATTTTATTGGCGAGTCGCGGCATTCCGGCACTTTCGTGCTGTCCATAAAACAATTTCCATTATCGGCATCTGTTTCACAAGTTCAATCAAGAGTGTTGAAGAATCCGTACAGAATCGAACGTTTCATTGAGATCAAAATTCATTTTCGTTTTTCATTATTAAAATCATTCGTTCTAATGTTTTCGAAACGAGTCTAAATAAAAAACGAGACCTTTAATAATTTATCTTAAATAATCGATATTCGTATTTTATATTGTAGCCATTGTATTACTATTTATCGAATGACTTGCAGTGTTCGAGATCAAACTATTCTATACATTTTTAATATCTTGATTCAAGTTGTCTTATTGTGTGACAATCGCGAATTTGAATGTTGAATAAGTATGATTATTGAATATTTATGAAATACTTCAATACTCGATATATTATCGATACTAACAAACTTGCTAGTATTATCTCATAATACAATAAAAGAACTGTATAATTAGTTGTGTGATATTAATATTGTTAAAAATTTTAGGAATTCAAGATTATATTTATTACAAGATTATAATTAAGATTATATTCATCGAGTATATTTTATAACTTATTGTGCTAGATATTAATATTTTTTATTGTGATAAATATTAATCAGTAAAACTTTTATAAAATTCTTCCGATACCATATTGTCCCACGATAACCATGATTTTCAGGATAAATTCTAGAAAAAAAGTTTCTCAGTGTACTATTTAAGTATTTTATGTGCTATGATTCTAAACCAAAATTATCTAAAAATTATTCTAGATAATTTAGTAAAAATAATACTTTTTTTTCATCTGAGATGCAGATATAGATAATACATATTTTTATTATTTGTATAAAGATGACGCCAAAGTTTCATCTAGTCTAGATGATCATCTATGTACATAATTATATTATTTTGATAATTTCAAGTTTGAATCTTACTGAAATATTTTCTTTTTCTTGTGTTTTTCTTAATCACGTTTGTTATATCCGTAGTTGTATTTTTTTTCGCGGAAATCTGCTTATCGGGAATATTTATTTTAAGAGCTTTTTGCGATTTGCGCGGAACAAACATCTTTGCCACGCCGTTTTTACTTCGAGATCGTTTCTTCGCTCTCGAGTGTTTCTTGCGGAACAGCGTCGCTACTGGAAATCGCTCTGCAAATACGAATACGTGTTTTGTGTGCTTATCCGAAAGTACACGCGAAAGCATCGCCCGAATGCATCGCCCGAAGAATCGGCAAATAGAATTCGCCGCAAAACGCACGAAATTCACTATTGGCCGTCAATATTTCCTCAGACATATCTCTCGAAAAATATGAAGTTATCGGGGTGGTTATTTAACGATTAATCGCGTTGACTTTTGTATATTCCTCCGTGACCCGTTCGATATTATTGGAACATACGAGTCATGTACTATTATTAAGTGGTGCAAAATTGCAAACTAGGACAAATATCTTGTTTGTATCGATTGTCAAAGTATTAAATAAATATTAAGTAATCGCATTTATTCTACGTTTGAATACACGATTGATCATACAACTTGAATAAAGATGTATCGTTAAAAATGTATAGAACAATCTTTTTCAGAATTATGATATATCTTTCTGTCTGTAGATATAACATTGTCAAAAATATCGTGTTTACGTTAACCGGAATTACGATGAAAAATGATATTGCATATTTGAACGAGCTATGCGCGGAGCTTTCACGATGATAATTAATTCGAATAATTGATATCCTTTTGACCGATATTTTCTCGATTTCAAAATAGAGCGTTCCTGCTTGAGGATGTGAAAAATTCATTAGACAAAGTTCTTTGGCCGCGAGAGGAGATCAATATTCTCCTCGACGCGGAAATATTATTGCGGTCAAATTAACAAAGGCGCTTCATCTTTCGAGATTAGTAATCTACTCGGTCTACTTGATCGCGCGTGATAATTTACGGCAACACGAGCTGTTCCCCGTTTAATGCCGATGCTTCTAGTTTACTGGGAATCGCGCTCTGTAAATAGAGGACGTGTTTTGTATGCTTAGCTAAAAGTGCTCGAACTTACGACGTAGAGGAAGACCAAGTGGCTCGCAGCCACCAGTGAAACACACTCGATTTCAGTAAATCGATAACAGCTTACGTATATAGATGATGTGCAAGTACATCATGTAATTAATTTTGTCGAAAAGATGTCGACGCAGAAACTGTTTTCAACGCACAATTTCTCTCTGAACAATATTTAATGTACCTTTTAACAGGATTAGTTTATCGAGGCGGAAGAAATTATATCATCATTTTTCTTTAATTATTCATTGTCAAATTTCTCATTTCTTATCAAGCAAGAGAGAAATTAGACAAAAAAAAAATGTAAATTTTTATCGACTCTACTTTCGTATTCGATATTTTACAGAGATTTTTAAAACGTTTGGGAAAAACGAAAGAATATGTTCATTGATAAGTAATATGTAATTATTTGTGCGTAACATTCGCAGAATTCAGAGCCAAATAAAATGGCATGTAAAGTGACAAGTTCAAAGTCTTGCTACGATTAGTGTGTCGACATACACGATTTCTCGGGAATAATCGACGCAAAAAGCAATTATTATTCATAACGTACCATGATAAACAAACGCGATAATCATTACATTATTAAGTGACATCAATGGAAATTGATAAGCATACAGCACGTAATCGTTGCCACAGTTTTCCTTGTGG